TCTCTCTCTCTCTCTCTCTTTCTCGAAAGAGAGACAGATCTTATCCAATGATCAGGATTTTAAACGAGGTCGAGCCACTTTTCATCCAACGACGAGAACGTTTGAAGCAAGTTCGCCTGAATTTTGGATGAAAGTCGATCGTTCCGAGCGGAAAACGCTTCTTCTTCTTTTCTTTTCCTTTTTTTTTTTCATTCTTATTCACGATAAAATCTGGCGAGATAAGAACCCGAATAGAGAATATCCACAGTGACGGACAATCTGCAATCCAAGAACCCCTTCTGTGCTTGGCTCTTGTGCCTGTCGTATATACTTTTCGTCAAGCCTGTCGAAATGTAATCTCTCGCCCACGGAAGGAGCTGTGAAATTTTTAGGTATTCCAACCTCGACATTTATAACATTTTGTATTAGTTATTTTGTTGTTCATATTTTTTTTACAATATTAAAAAAAGAAACAATGCCCAAGTTCGATCGTACGTTAAAATTTCCACGGGCATTTTCTGTATTCAATTTTCCATGTTTTCCATTTTCTGCTGAAATTAAATTACGCGTCAAATTTTCCGTATTTTTCATTTTTTTTTTTATTAGAATTTCCCACGATCAGTTGCATATTAAGTTTTCCATATTCCCTGTTGGATTAGCGAACAATTTTCTTTTCACTATAATTAATTCTCCACGAACAATTCTGTATTCAATTTTCTGTATTCAATTGCATATTAAATTTTCCATATTCCTCGTTGAATTAGCGAACAATTTTCCTTCTACTAGAATTAATTTTCCACGAACAATTCTGTATTCAATTTTCCATGTTTTCCATTCCCTACTGAAATTACACGTCAAATTTTCCGTATTTTTCATTAGAATTTCCTACGATCAGTTGCATATTAAATTTTCCATATTCCTCGTTGAATTAGCGAACAATTTTCCTTCTACTAGAATTAATTTTCCACGAACAATTCTGTATTCAATTTTCCATGTTTTCCATTCCCTACTGAAATTACACGTCAAATTTTCCGTATTTTTCATTAGAATTTCCCACGATCAATTGCATATTAAATTTTCCATATTCCCTGTTGGATTAGCGAACAATTTTCTTTCCACTAAAATTAATTCTCCGAACAATTCCGTATTTAATTTTCCATTCTCTACTGAAATTATACATCAAATTTTCCGTATTTTTCATTAGAATTTCCTACGATCAATTGCACACTAAATTTTCCATATTCCCTGTTGGATTAGCGAACAATTTTCTTTCCACTAAAATTAATTCTCCGAACAATTCCGTATTTAATTTTCCATGTTTTCCATTCCCTACTGAAATTACACGTCAAATTATCCCGTAGTTTTCATTTTTTTTTAATTAGAATTTCGATCAATTAGAAAATTAAATTTTCCATATTCCCTGTTGGTTCAGCGAACAATTTTCTTTCCACTAGAATTAATTTTTCCACGAACAATAATCCCACGCGAAATTTCCCGCACGCAATTTCCGCACACTGGATTTCCCAATTGCGATCAACTTCCCGCAATTAATCCCAAAACACTCGATCATGCAATCAACTGCACCGTCGATTAAAATCAATGTACCATAAGGAAGATTGACTTGAGGAAGACGTCGATTGTGGCAACAACGTGTAAACCTCACCCAGAAACGGAAGGCGTCCAAGGAATAGTGGAACGAAGCGACTAGAAGAACGATTAGTCATCGGTGCAAGTCGTTTGATGGAAAGTTCGATAGAACGAGATTTCTCCCGTCGGTTTTTTGCACAATTGTCGCGGCAACGCGCGCGATTGTCGCTTCGATCGAACGTGATTATCGATCGCGGTATCGGAGGTAATCCATTGGCGAAGATCGTGATGGCTAACAAATGGTGTACGCGGACAGCTGTTCGATCGAAATCGGGCGACCGATCCGTGAAATTGGTTATGGTTGAATACGATATCAATAATCGACTGCTGCGAATAATTCATCGATACTTAATAATTCATCGGTTCATAATCTCGTCGGATCGATTTCAACCGATTTGGCTTAATCTAGATCTATTTGTCGTTTGATTGTTTCTCGATTTATTTTGAAATCGTGCGCTTCTTCAAGCGGAATAACTTCATTTATTTCAATGAAATTACTTGTATCGACTGATTTGTTTATTCAATTTCGTTCTGTTCAAATGTCGTTTGAAATTTAAAAAAAAAAAAATTAAGAAAAATCGTCGTTTCAAATTTTCGAAACACATTCAGTGTTCACGTGCTCATAAAGGAATGTTATCATGTTGCGTGGCTAAGTAGCTCCTCTGAGAGATGTTCTCTTTACCATAATGGATACATTGTTCTACGTTAACACTGGAGCGTTAATTTCACTTACACTCGATTATCATATAGTCGGACCATATTTACCACTTGCCATGTGCTTAAGATACTAATTTCTTACCAGATATATCTTTGCAACAAATATCTTGCTGTAACTTCTATGTATATTTTCCGTTGTTCGAAAAAAAAAAAATGATTGAAATTTTAAATTACCAATAATGTACCGATTACTTAAAAATGTAAGTGTCTCCAACATCGTACGTACGTCAATGATTTTTATCAGACAACTGTTCGAGTACTTCCGTGGACTACTGTTACAATCAAAAATTTCCCTCAACCCTCCCTCCCCTCCCCCCGCCCCAAAAGAAAAAAATCAGCTCACCGTCTCA